ACATTGCACTTGCAAAACGTCACACCTATGAAGTATCGACGAGGTGAATTTTCGACAACGCATGAACAATTTCAGAGTTTACGATAGTTTTTGCTTCGGAACGTATAAAAACTTACCAACTCACCATATAAAAACTCCTGAAAGGCTGCATTTGTAACGTTCCGAAGCAAAAATAGCGAAACTTTCGAAACTTTCATCGCAAGGAGTTTTCGCCGATTTTTTCTGCGTTTTCAACTAAAAACGCGCAGAGCCAAAGTGCGCAAAGCTTTTCAGTGCTTCTTTATGCCAGTAGTTATATAAATTAAGCGAAAAATACTGAATTTCAATAAGAGAACACTTCGAAAAGCGAAAGAAACTGAAAAAAGACGAAAAGTTAGTAAAGTCTTGTGCCGCTAAACAAGGCGCAGCCGGGATTTCGGAGTGTCGTTGCGGGATTTCGGAGTGTCGTTGCAAATCTCTATGACCGAAATTTTGAAGCTCGGCAGTTATAAAACAGCATTTAAAAAACGAATTGTTGTGATTTTGGAAGAAAAACGGAAAAATAGCACTTTAAGACACAAATTGTACAAAATTAAAAACAAATTTCGTCGGAAATCTTAAGCAAATCGAAAAATATGACCGAGAACATGTGTCCTGAACGATTGATTATTATCATGCAATGACAACTCGAGTAAAAATCTTGGAACACGAAAATGCTAACACATGCTTCTAGATATATACTAAGGAATGTTCAAACATATTTTTTTATTCAGGCGCCATCAACCAGTCAGCGCCTATTCGACTGTCATTTAGCAGTTTTTCACCAACCGCGCCTCAAATCCTAATTGATATAGAAATGCTTCTAATAACGCATTTTTTAGCTTCCCAGACCCCTCTATGACTTTTATGATGTTTTTAGAGAGAACTATTTTTTCAACAAAATTTTCCATTCTGAAGGAATTTGGACCGCCAACCACCGGTCGTTGGCCAGTCAGCGCCTCTTCGACTGCCATTCAGCAGTCGTTCAACAACCTATTTTTTGAGGTGGTCATATTTGAGGAAAATAAGATTCTATCATTTCTTATAATCTAGTGGGAGTAGGAGAAATTGTTTTCTGCATGATTTCCAATCAGAACCTTCAAGTATGTTTTCCAATCGGTACCGACTGTCCGTCGACGGACCGTCGACGGCCCGTCAGTTCTCCTTCGGCTGCCAACTAGCAGTCATTCGCCAGTTTGCGCCTCTTCAACTGTCATTTAGCAGTTTTTCGACAGTCCCCCT